GTGCTAGAGAATGAGCTGAGGAGAGTTCTACATTTTGAGCGTTAGGCAACAGGAAGTTAACTGTGTCACTGGGTGTAGCTTGAACATAGGAGACTTCAAAGTCCATCTACACAGTTATACATCCTCCACAAAAGGGCATACCTAATCCAACAAAGCCACACCTCCTATGGGGGGCATTTTATTTCAAACCACCACATTCCACTCCCTGACCCTCATAGGCATGTAGCAATATTATAATGCAAAAATACATTCAACCCAACTTCAAAAGTTCCCATAGTCTAAAGTTCAAAGTCTCTTATGAGATTCATCCAGTCTCTTAACTGTAATCCCTTGTAAAATAAAAACAAAATGCAGATCACATATTTCCTACATATAGTGGCATAGGATATACATTACCATTCCAAAAGGTAGGGAAGGGAGCACAGTGAGGAAATACTGGACCAAAGCAAGACCGAAAACCAACTGAGCAAACTCCACACTCTGCATCTCCATGTCTGTTGTCAAAATGCTCTTAAGAGCTCAACTCCTTCAGCTTTGTTGATGGTAAAATACCTGATTCTCTTGGGCTAATTCCATTCCCTGTTAACAGCTTTCCTCAGCAGGTATCCCATGACTCTGGTATCTCCAACATCTTGGGGTCTCTAAGGCAATCCAGGCTTCACCTTCACAGCATACAATTGCCTCTCTAGGCCTCCATTTAGGGATATCCTGGTACATGCCTGACCTCAGTGGCTTTCCTTAGTCATGGAGGAATATTCCAAACCTCTCTTCTACCCTTGACTCTAAATCCAGAACCATGTGGCTGAAGCTGCCAAGTTATGTTGCTTTCTGGGTCTGGAACATAGCCCCCTTGTTCAATAACCTCTTCACCAGCTTTTTGTTTCCTTTACTGCTTAATCTTGTCTGCCCTGGAACTCAATCTGTAGACCAGGTAGGTTGGCCTCAAACTCAGAGATTCACCAGTCTCTGCCTCTGGAATACTGGGATTAAAGGTGTGCACCACCACACCAGACTCTAAATTTTAATTCCTTTTCACAAATTAGAAACTTAGCTGGGTGTGATCTTGCCCTGAGGTCACCACTCCTTTTCCATTTTCTTAATCTGTATTTCCCTTTGAACACAGGACTTAATGCATTGCACTTCCTGGTGCTCCCTTTCTCCTTAAATTATACCTTGTATTTTTACTTGTTCAGTTTGCTCATTTTCATTATAAATTGCCATTAGAGTTAACACTAAAAACCACACAACAGAATCGATACTAGAGTGACTTAAGATTTACAGAATTAATCCAAAAACCCTTCACTTTAGCCTCAGGCAAACTTTTTGGACAAGGGCAAAAAGGAGCCACATTCACCAAAATATCACAAGAATGATCTCTAGGCAACACACTAAAATTCTTCTCTGCAACCTCTCGAGCCAGACACCTGCAGTTCAAGCAACTCTCAGCACCATGGTCTTCCATGCTCCTACTAGTATGACCCATTAAGCAGTGCTTAAAGCATTTCACTGCTTTCCTAACCCAAACTCCCAAAGTCCAAATTCCTCTAAACAAAGAGGTGATAAGGCCTATCATAGCAATACCTGTGTCTCTGATACCAACATCTGTCTTAGTTAGGATTTCTATTGCCATGAAGAGACACCATGACCATGGCAACTGTTATACAGAAAAACATTTAATTAGGGTCTTACAGTTTCAGAGGTTTAGTCCATTATCATCATCGTGGGACTTGACAGCATGCAGGCAGACATGGTGCCAGATAAGGAGATAAGAGTTTTTCATTTTGATCCACAGGAAATAGGAAGTGAAGTGTGCCATTGGGCATATCTTGAGCGTATAGGAGTCCTGAAAGCCCATCCCCACAGTGACACATTTCCTTCAACAAGGTCATACCTACTCTGACAAAGATATACCTCTTAATAGTGCCACACTCTATGGGGGCATTTTCTTTCAAACCACCACACCCACATTCAAGCCCTGGGTTGGAATTTGATATTTACCTAGAAAAATCTTCAAGAAGTGGTTTTGGCTGTAGTTTAGAAGAAAGAGTGGGAAAGAGCACTTGGGTAGACATATGGGCACAGTCCAGGTTTGGGAAACCACAAAAGCCTGTCTGGGTAGGGTCTGAAGCAATCTGCCTTTGATTATTTTTCCTTGATCAACACCTTTACCTCTGTGTCCTTCTCTATTACGAGCTTCTGGAAGGTCCTTGACTTTCATGATGTCCTAATTAGAACCTGTGTTCTTTCAAGAAATTCCCCAAAGTCAATCCGTCTCTCCTCCATAGAGATGATCTTTGTCCTTTTCTCTAAAGACATCCTCTGTTTTCTAGGCTGGCCCAAGGAGCACTTACTTATACTTTCCCTGTCAAAGTGAGAGCAAATGTCCTAGAACTTTCTGTGCTTTCTCTCAGTCTTATGCAGTTGGATCTTTTTTTTTTTTGAACCACAACATGGAGACTTATTATTAATTATGAAAGCTCAGCCTTAGCTTAGGCTTGTTCCTAACTAGTTTCTATAACTTAAATTAACCCACATTTTAAAATATACATTCTTCTACAAGGTTTGTTACCTCATCTCCATGCGGTCCACCCTGCTCCCTCTGTGTCTGGCTGGTGACTCCATCTTTTTTAACTACTAGAGTTCTTTCTTTGCCAGGAAGTCTGCCTGAACTTGCCTACCTAGCTATTGGCTATTCATCTTTTTATTACACCAGTCAGAAGCAATATATCTTCACACAAATATCCCATAATAATCTTAAGTGATTTGAAAACAAGATGGTAAGCCCTAGAGAAGAGGTCTAAAGACTTGTTGATTTTTGTCTTCTCTGAAATGTTAATGTGTGAATGACTTCCTAATAATTGTCACTGGTTATTGTGAGCGAAAGAGAAAACATAGGTTTTGAATTGTTCAGCCTGGTCTCATCATGCAGTAAGAAAGGAGGTTTCTGTGCCTTGGAAGAGCCACTCAAAAAGTGTCCAAATCAAGACACCTATCCTGATCCCAAACAACAGAGGGCCAGTATTTGCTTGTGGTCAACAAGATATTTCAATTTTATAATCTCACTTGGTTTCAGGCAGAATTATAAAGTAGAATACCATGCTGTTGTTTTCAATTTAAGATTTTAATTTAACCATTAAGTAAAATTAAGTAAAAATGTGTTGGAAAATCCCATTTTGTAGTTTAGTCACTTAATTGCTCAGTTGCCACATGTATTAGAGTTTTCAAGAGGAATAGACTAATAGAATATATGATATATATGTACACACACACACTCACACACACACACTTAAAGGAGATTTACTAGAGTCACTTACATGCTGTGGCCCAGTTGTCCAACAGTGGCTGTCTTCCGACAGGAAAGTCCAAGAACCCTGTGGTTAGTTCTTCAGTCTGCTTGTCCAGATGTCTCGGCAGGTCTTGAGTATATGCCGGAACCCTGAAGAAGTGGGCTCTGCTTGAGATTGAGGGCTGCAAGCAAAGAACAAAAGCTTCTTTCTTCCTAGTGCTGAATATAGGCTGCCACGAGAAGATGTGGCCCAGATTTAGGGTGGGTCTTCGGGCCACAAATGATCCACACTTAAGGCGGGTCTTCCTGTGTCAATGACTGGGTTAACTAAAAATCCCTGGCAGATAATGCCTAGTGACTTGGGTTTTCAGTGAATTCCAGATATAGTCAAGTGGACAACCAAGAATAGCTATCACATTCATGTGGCTTGTGGCTACTATATTAGATAGTGAAGGTCTACGTAGCAATTCTGTAATTTGTCATGGTATTATTGTGCTCTCTGGATCACCTAGCTTATGTATTGGTATAGAAGAGGCCAGAGATGTGTGGGGCTCTGTGAGCTAGACAGGGAAAGAAGGTGAGCGGTGGGGCCCCAAGTGTGCTTGAAGAGTTTGTACCTGTGTTAACTGGAGCTGCTACTGGGCTACAACTGAGGATTGCTTTCTGGAAATGTGGGCCCAGGGGTGTTAGATCTTAACTCTCTCTCTCTCTCTCTCTCTCTCTCTCTCTCTCTCTCTCTCTCTCTCTCTCTCTCTCTCTGTATTTCAGTGTTTGTAGTCAATGTGTGTGTGTGTCTGTTCAGATTCATATTGGGTGTCTTCCTCTATTGCTTTCCACCTTGTGTTTTGAGGAACGGTCTTACCCAGCCTGGCTCTCACTGATTGACTAGAATGGCTGTCTTGCGGGTCTCAGGGATCCTGTGTCTTTGTCCTTGCCTTGGGCTAGGGTTACAGGTGTATGTGATCTTGCCTAGCTTTCTTTTGTGAGCACTGAGGATCCGAACTCAGGTCCTCATGCTTCTGTGGCAGGCACTTTGTTGAGCCATCACCCAGGACCCCCATTTGTAAAGTATATTAAAGATGCTAATATTATATATAAATTATAATTCTGCTCTCCCAATCTAACCACAGTGGAGAGCCAGGGCAGCTCATGAGCCCTCAAAGTTCAAAATTTGTGAACTAGACTGTTTTACCTCAAACAGTTTCTATGAAATTTGCTTGCATGGAAAAACAGGCCATTGGAGGAATGTTAGCTGCAGGAGGTCAGAGTCTGGATTTGAGTTTCCAGAAGTGGTCAGACTAAATAAAGACATTGTGGTAAGGGAAAAACAAAACCCCAAACATCAACAACAACAGAAAAAGTCAAAATTTATTTTAAGATTCAAAGTCAGCCTCCTAGTGCATTCACTAGGTAACAATGGCAGAGTGAGGCCTCCAACATGGAGGCACCTCAGTTAGAGACAATAATTCCCCCCAGTGATTCCCCAGAAAAGTAAAATCATTTGTGTGTTCCAAAGCACACAGGATAGGTGCTCCCCAAGTTTTCATTGCAAAACCTCAGAATCACAGCACAGAAAAATACTGAGGAAAAAGACCTCTGCTGAAGGGAAAGTAATTAGAGAGACATGACTCATCTCAATGAATAAACATCCATTCTGCTGTCATATAGAATTCAGGAACCCACCCACCTAAAGTTTTCCATCTTTTTCTTACAGTACTGGAACTCGAATGCAGGACTTTGAGCATGCTAGGTATGCTCTCCTCCAGAGTGTCATCTCCAGCCCTACATTGCTGCTAAATGATGAAATGTACTACATATCCAATGCAGTCCACTGGCATGTCTCACGAGGGTTAGTGACAACTTTCAAATGAACATAGACCAATGCAGAGCTAGGATGAAGATTTTCTGGCATGGATCAGACTCCAGGCACTGCACATACAGGGCACGGTTGTGCATGATGCATGCAATCCCAGCACTGGGGATGTAGAGGCAGGAGAATCAGATGTTCAAGGTCATTAACAGCTACAGAGGACTTCGAGGCCACCCTGAACTACATGAGATCCTTTCTCAAAGTAAAACAAAGAGAAAATAAGGTAATTAAATAATTTAGCACTGAGAGATTGCTATTCAAGTGTATTAGCTATTTTCTTAGCTGTTAAAACTTTATTATAAAGAAATTGCAAACAAAACCATAGCAAACCAAAATTAGTAAGGTCCAAAGTCTATACATCTTAATGAACTTTTAACCATTTGTATCATTCTATCACATTCATTTATTTGTTAGTTCAAGCAGTTTAAGAAAATTCCTGAATTATGTCTTAGTTATGACTCAGATGTACTGCTTATTGTTTTAAAATTGTTTTTAAAATTTTTTTGACATGATGCCAGGAATGCTGGGGGGAAAGAAAGCAGATTGAGAAACTTCAGTTAAACTGAGGCAAGCATCAGCAATTTCATCTGAATGCAAAAGTAACTTGCAGTGTTCACCAGCTATTGCAACAGTCTGGATTTCTGTTTTGTTACATTTCGTTGCAATAGCCAACATTTATTGAGTGACCAATGTGTGACCTCAGCTAAGAGCTCCCACGTTGGCATATAGGGATAAATTCCACATTCTCATTCCTAACCATTGCAAGGTTGACGAGCCATTTTCTTCTGACCTGCTGTTCAAGTTGACAAATGATAACCAAGGGGCTAGTGTGTTCCAGGTAACATGTTAAGCATTTGAGACACATTTCAGGCTACAAACTGACATGGCTAGTTGTGCAATGTTATAAAGTACCACCAATGTGTTTGCAGATACCGGAACTCAATACTTTCTCAGAATGCTGATATTTCCAGGAAAAGGAAATGCCATTAAACTGCCAAGATACTGGCACCTTTTGATCACAGAGTCCCCTTCTCTTTGGAGATTTGCTGCATACACTGTACATTGTTCAAGTCACCACAGAATTTGCGGAGATGAGACAAATGTCCAAAAGAAAAGTTTCATTTTATGTTTGTTTACAGATAATGACAGAAGAGTCCAGGAAGACAGACACACTCCTCAATGTTTCTACCAACAATGAAACATTTTCCCTTATATCCACAGATGAGTGTGTTTCTTACCTCTCATCAAGGTAAAACTTTTTGCAATAGATGGAGACCATCAAAGAAAACTGCAGTCAATCAAGATGCGGACTTGTGGAGCTCAGTACCAAAGGATATGTCTACAAAACACTCCCACCTCTGAGCTCCTGAAGGACTATGGGACATCGTCATGTTAGGGAATTAACTTCCGTTCTCCCTCACATTCTACAAGCTTTCTAATTTCTGCCATTTCTCTTTGCTAGTAATTTTTTTAGATCACCCATGGAAACCACCCTCTCTCGTTTAATAGCCTTTGAATTATTAACACTTAGCTAGTCCTGTGTCATCTGGAAGGTGACCATGGTCAGTAGATATCAGTGAGAGTCAAGGTATCTATTTGGAGAGAACTTTGGGTGGAGGCTTCGTATTCCCTTTCATGGATTAAGTCCCTCCTTGGTTGGCTTTATAAGTGTAGCATTCACTTAAGGCAGACTTGCAGCCGTCTTTCCATTTCAGGTATGATGTCATTGCCAGGGTCTGTGATGACTGACTCTCGGTGGCCTTTCACTGCAGCACATTGCCTCACACACTAAGAAGCCACAGTTGCCCTTCAAGCCTGATTCAATGGCGTATAATGGTATCAAACTCTGGCCTGTTGCCCTTTGGACTCAGAACTTAAGTTGTGGCCAAAATCTTAGCTCCAAAGATGGAGACGGGATCAGGTACCACATGGTCCTGAGCGTAGGAGCCAGTCTGGATGTGTCCTGTCACTTGATAGCAGACAGACACTCCTCATGAGCTACTCAGGACTCCAGGCGCCAGGAAGTAAGTTGAGGTCAGGGAGTTTGTTTTATCTACTGATTTGGAAAAATATTTAGCCTCCCTGGAACAGGGATGTACATTCCGTGAGTCTGAAGCCATGAAATTTGGCAAGTCCCGTATCAGATGCCTAATACTGTTATACAACGCAGTCTAATTTAGATGGTAAGACTGCCAGAGGGACCTGAGTGTCCCCCTAGGGCCAAAAGTCCCCTCTGACACTTCTTTAAGCCCAACAATCAATTACAATTAATCATAATCATGAGAGTGGCACCCACTGTCCAGAATTGGCCTACAGGTCAATACACACAGCTTTGCATAATTAGACATTAGTATTTAGCCCAGGGAACATGGTGATGACTTGTGCAATGATCTGGCCGCTCTACAAATAATAACAAAGGTGTCTAACTGAGACTCTGAATGGCAGTGAATACCCCCTGAGCTATGCCTCTCTCCTGCTGGCCCTGCCTATTAGAAAATAAAAGCTCACTTCCTTGTAATTCTTTATGTTTTAGACAACTTATTCCAAATGACTACAAACATTACTTTAATTCTTCACTCAGTTTTGCAGGGTGTATGTATATCTTCAAGGATCTTGAAGCTGTGACAATAACACTGTTTGGGAACAACATAAAGTGGAAAGGCTACATGAAAATAAGTGTGCCAGCACATTGCCTTCAAGTGCTTAGTGGACAGTAGCTGTTGAAAGAGCATAGCACATCTTAGAGTCAAACAGACCTGGATTCAACTTGTGGTCCATAAGATTCTTCAGTTTTCTTCTCTGGGTGTTCCATCCATTACATAAAGTATACTCTCTGGAAAGCTACTTGTGTAGAACATGAGGAGGTCTTAAGAAAGGCAGCTGCAGTTAAATAAGTTTGGATTTGTTCCGTTGAATGAAATTCCACTGACTTTTAAATTGCAGGGTTTCTCAGACTCCTTTGTATGTTAAGATTTAATGGGACTCTCAGAGGGCATCAGTATATAAATTCCACTGACTTTTAAGTTGCAGGGTTTCTCAGACTCCTTTGTATGTTAAGATTTAATGGGACTCTCAAAGGGCATCAGTATATAAATTCAAGGGTAACAAATAACTAACTGTTGCCCAAACTTGCCCAACTATGGAAACTTTTTTTTCATTAAAGTATTTCATGGGCTTTAGGAATTCTGGGAAACAACTATGTCTCTCAGGACTCTTCAGGTCACAAGTGACAGAGGCCAACTAGTAGCTCAGGCAAAACGTGGAAGCTATTTGTTCTGGGAACTGAGTCAAAAGCAGGACAGGGTAGGGCTGGTCTTGTGGGCAACTAGAAGAGCTTATGTTTATGTTTTTGTTTGTTATGTTTATTTAAAGTGTGTCGAGGGGCTGCCTGCATGCTGTGACACCCTTGTGGAGGTCAGAGAACAACTTCCAGGAGGCCAGTTCTCTGCTTGCACCATGTGAGCTCTAGGGATTGAACTCAGATCTTCAGGTTTGGTGGCAAGCATCTCCACCTGCTGGGCCCTCTTGTCCGCCTTGTTATTTGTTATTTACTGTGAGATGACCGTGTGACAGGCATTGTTCATGACACTTTATAAGCATGGATTCATTTCATTCTAACATCTCCACGAGTTAAATACTCCTGTAACTTTCTGTTTACAAACAGGAATCTCCCCATGGCTACCTGGGCCGTCAGATGTCAGCCTACAATTGCAAGCCCTATGCTTCTCATGGGACTTGAATGCTGTCAAAGTTCATTGTCCTGCTATGACTCTTCGGTCTTTGGTCTACTTTATTCTCTTCATCAAAATTTTCTCGTGAGATTAGAGACCTGGCTGTCTTCATCTTGCTCTCTCACCTCCTTCAGGAAAAGGCACCTCTCCCAATTTCTATGGAAAACTTTCAGGCAAGGGGCTACTCTATGATTAGCCCCTGACTTGGGTCATGCATCTGATTTTTGGGTCAATGGCCAGGTTGGGGTTGAGGCGAGCATACCAATCAGCTCTACACATTGTTGCTGTAGCAGAGGAGCTCAAGAACTAGCCACATTCACTACATCAGCATGGTCATGCTCTGTGGAGAGCAGTTATCTAAAACAAGGAAGGTGAGTGTTCAAGATACGAGGTCTAGGGCATTGGTACTCTAAATTGAACCTTCCCCAGGGTCTTTTTGTTTGTTGGTTGATTTTTGTCTTTTTAAGATAGGGGTCTTGACTGATCCTGAAAGTCCTCACTCATTTGCTTCTGCCTCTGGAGTATGCTCAGATTATAGCTGTTTTTTGTGGGATCTTGTACAATCACGTGGTGTGTGTGTATACATATACACATACATATACATACACATATATACGTACATATACATATACATATACATATATATATATATAAAGCCATGAGCATGGTTCTTGGCATAGCAATAGGCAGGTAATTCATTGCACCTACTGTTTTATCCAGGCTGCAGAAGATAAAGATCCTGCATTTGATGTGGGAAAGCTAACCCCAGGAGATATAAGAACTAGGTATGAATGCTACCTTTTATGCAGGTCTGAGAGGTCAAAGGAGACCTTGACTGCTGCATCGAAGCCCAGGTCTGAGATGGCAGCATAAGCTGGAATACACAAAGAGCAAGATCAGAGGAAGGGATTGCAAGATTCATGTTTGTCATAATGCAGAGCCGTATTCATGGATCAAGTCAGGAGCCAACATCCAGAGGCCCAATCTATGTGAGAGAGCACAGGAACACACAGGCAGAGGTCCACTTTAAATCAAGGTCCAGAGGGACCTTCAAGGGCTGGAGTGAAGGTTTACAGGTGGCTAGAAGTCAGGGGAAGCTCTCAGATGTAGAATAGGGAGACAAGACTCCTCAGGGGGCTGGAGAGGTTAAAAGCACTGGCTGCTCTTCCAGGGGTCCTGAGTTCAATTCCCAGGACCCACACAGTGGCTCACAATCATCCTTAATGAGATCTGGTGCCCTTTTCTGGCCCGCAGGGACACATACAGGAGGAATGATGTATATATATAATAAATAAATCATTTTTTAAAAGAAGACTCCTCAGGTACCAGAATAAGGAGGCTGTATGTGTATCAAATTGAGGTTATGGGGAGCTAACTCCATTTCTTAATCAGAGAAGATGTCTGCTCCCAACCACACATTGATTTAGTTCCACCAACTGCACCCATATTTGCAAGGTCACTATTCACTGCCTGCAAAAGTAAAGTGAATTCTCAAATCGCATTATAGAGCCGTGCAGCAATCATTACAAAAGCTCCCCTGGGTTGTCTTCCTCAGCTTGTTCTCCTTCCCAGTCCTGAGGTAGTCCTGTCCCTCCTCAATGAGCAGCGAGCCCTCTCTTCTGGTTATTTATGCAGTGAGTCCGCACTCACCCTGGTTGCTTCTTCATCTTTGTTGTAGCTGTAGCAGATAACCACAAACTTAGAGGCTTACACATGGATTTATTATCTCATGTGTGGAAAAGACATGCTCAAAGTCAATCTCAGTGGACTGCCTGACACCAAGGTGTTAGGAGGCTGTCTTCCTTCTGGGTGTATCTCCCTTATTCTTCCCAGCTTCTAGATGTATCCTTGGTTTGTAGTGCCTTCCTCCATCTTCAAAGACAGCAGCATAGTATTTTCTAATCTTTGACTCTGATCCGATGACTCCTTCTGTGCTGATCAATATTAACTGTCAGTGTGACAGAATATACAGTCAGGAGCCTCTAGGCATGCCTGTAGAAGACTAACTTTATTAGGTTGAGGTGGGAAGATTCACCCTAATTGGGTGACACCATTCCCTGTGCTGGGGGCCTGGACTGAATAAAGAGAAATCTAGCTGAGCCACAGATGACTTGAGGCTAGCTATGACTTCCTTCTCATGAGAGGCTGTAGATTGACTGTGAGCCAGAACAAATCCTTACTTCCTTAGATTGCTTTGGTCAAGGTATTTTATGACAGCAACAGGAAGATAACTAAGACACCTTCTTATAAGGATCCTTGTGATCACATCGTGTTTACCACTCTAGTTGGCAGCGTGAACCTGGGAGAATAGAGCCTAAAAATGAGGTGGGCTAAATAAAGTCTCATGCAATAGTGGGCTTTATTCAGAGCACCAGGCAATTTATATTCTGAGGGTTAAGCAAGGCCTTGAGCAAAATTCACTTGAGTTTAGGTTGCACACAGTCACAAGGACAACCCATGCTGGAAACATTTCTGAATAACAAAAATAATCTGAAGCAAACCACTCCTAACTACTACACCTCGGAGGGGTATGAAAGCACATTCCAGGAGCAACTCATGTGATGGAGAAACAGGTCACAAGACTTGTCTCACAAGCTCTCAGAAACTTCTTCATACTGTTTCACTCATGGACTGTGTCCCGACAACAATGAACTTCCCATCCCTGATAATCAAGAATCAAGGTCTTTAGTCACCCACGAAGTGACGCCTGTCATGGGAAACATTTACTTGCTTCAGTGGTTTGGGTATGGCAGTCTATGAGTGGGAATATTATTCAGCCTGCAATAGTTATCAAGTTCAACTTTCATCTCCAGATAGCTTTAGCTGTTAGACATGCACCATGTTGTTTACTCTGTTGGTCTGTCCTAGGTTTTCTAAGCATTTGTCTAGATTCCCCTAGGACAGGGGCTGTATTTCCCGGGTCTGTTATCCCTCTTTGTGGAGGAGGATGGGTCTAGAAGGCATTTGCTGTTGCGGAAGTTTTTGGTGTTAGTCAATATTCTGTCCTTATGGCAAAAGACCTGAAGTAAAAACACTTAGAGGAGGGAAGATTTGAACTTGGTTTCAGCGTTAGATGGTCTAACTATGGGGCATTGTGCATGGGGACATTGGCCTCAGCACGGAGGGGCTGTGATGAGGCAGAACATCATGGATGGCAGAGAGGGTGTGGTAGAATGAACTGGCTCATCTCAGGAAAAGGAAGGAGGGAGAGTGAGAAGGAGAGGCAGGGCAGGGGACAAGATTTAACTCCGAAGGACCCATGTCTTCAACTAGTGAGTCAAAATAGGCCTTTTGTTTTTTATGACTAGAACATGAATTTATTACAGTCATATGAAGCTAACACACAATAATATAATGTTAACATTTAAAAAAGCTCATTATGGAATGGGACCACATACTGAACCAACTAATGACTTGCAATTTTCAACACTGTACTCACTGATGTAACTAATTTACCATAAAAACTATATTTCTCAATTAGTATGTAATTAATGAGTTAGTAACTTGCCTACTTGTTTTCCTAAATGACCTGGTCAGTGGTTGTTTGTCTTTTATGTAAAATTCCTCTTGAAAAGAGAATATGAATTTTATACCAATACTAATTCTTACTAAAAATGTCTTTTGAGTACTTATCTCTGATAATTCCATCATGAACTTGCTTTATTAGGATAAAGTCAAACATTTCAGAATATTTCCCTAGGGACTTGTGCAACAGACATTAGTTTTCTAAGTTCGACAAGAAGGATAACATATGTTAGACTCTTTTGATGC